TCCAAACTAATAGTCATGGAAATAAAAATGTTAGAAAGTTAATTTTCGTGTTCGGTTACATGTGTGAGCCACTGTATACGTAGTGATTTACACACAAATGGAGGTTAAATAAAATTCTAAATCGATTTGCTTGCTTGTCGTATTAACGTTAACGTTAACGTTAAGAGTCTCATTATTTACACGAAATTTTATTAGATGTCATCATTTAATTAGTCATAAGAATATTACTTGTGGAAATATATATAAGAAATGGGTTTCTTATTATAAATCGTTTTTACAGACGTACTTTTTGACTTAAAAAGACGAATTTATTTGAAATTAAAGTATAATGTTATTAGTTATTAGTTATTAGTTAATGATGATTGTTATCGTTATAATCTAAATAGAATGTTTTTAGACTGTATGTTCATTTTATCGTAAAAAATACTAATACCTAAACGAAAAAAATTGATTCTTATTTTTATCCAATGGTGGCACTAGCTTCTGTTTCCTCAAGAACTTCACTAGTATATTCAGCTTTCTTGATAGTTTCAATTAACGCGCTAATAATACTTTGACCTTCGGGAACTTCAACTTCACCGGTCAAAATTTGTTCCGCGGAAACCTCTTTTTGGTAGAATGTTCTATTGGTATCTTTACGCTCCCTCAAAATAGTGCCATCGACACTAATGCCAGCAAATAATCCTTTACTTTTGCTATAGGAATATAGAGCGGTCGGAGTTCCTTCTACCATGGTACCGGAAACTGTAGTTCCGACTGCAACGGGACCTGCAGTGACAGAAAGGTTTCCGCCAAGTGTTACATTGTCGTCTCGACTAAACGCTTTGACTGCTTCAGGAGTGTTCAAGACTATCACGAAATCGCTAACATCGGCTCCCATTTGCATTCCGAAACCGAGTCCGCCGATACTGATACATGATGGTGACGACCATTCGTCAGAGTCTTTTAGACGTGCAACTACCACACCTGAGCCTACTCGACCTGCCCAGAACATACCGGCTTTGAAGATGGTGAAGATCGCTAGTCCTTTGGCATTCTTGATTACTTCTTTAGGAATTATATTTTCTAAAGTGTTGCCAGGAGTTTCCGGATCTTAATTAAAATTAGGACAATATGCCTAACTTTTATATAATGAACATAATAAATAAAATAAACATTTTTAACTTACCAGTGAAGACACTTAGAATTTTTCTGGCCTTTTCAACTTCACTTGAGAAATCCGAAGGTAATGGTGAATTGACATTATTCTGTTGAGCAGCTTTGGTGATTTCTGTTTGAGCGACACCCGCAAGACGAGTCGCTTCACCGACACCAGCTTGGATTCCTTGTTGAAGTGTGTTCATCATTCTGATTGAGAGTTCAGATAAAGAAATTGGTTCTTGTTTTTTTGATTTTTTTTTTGTAAAGCAAGGATTTCATCAATCTTCCTTATATATGCTAAAAACGCGATCTACATGTGAACACATGCTCTAGAGCTTATTTTATAGTACAAATGCATATTTAGAACCAATAGTTTTTTTTAACATGTGTGATGCGTGGCTTTTTCCGTTCATGAAGCCCTTATGAATTTATATGTAATCATATATATTTTATATATTTTTACAGTATCGAGTATTTAAAAGGAAATAATATATTCAATTTCAAATGCTAATTTGTTATTATCACACTATTTTCACACAAGAACAAGATGACTCGCTAATTACGCGCGTGAAGTTATGTATACCTGGCGTATTATGTATATATTTAGTAGATGTTATCGCTATGTAACAAATCAAATTCGAACAATTGGTCTTTTGTGGTAAGGACATTTTGTTGATTACTTATTCGTGATGTCATTTGTTGTTATAAATTTTGCTGGAATTTTTTTATTCCGTTATTGTTATTTCAAATATGTCAAACAAATGTCATTGAGGTTGATACTGTTGTTGTGGGTCGAAACATGTGTTCAAAAAACAATTTAATCTCCCCTGTTTGTTCTTTTTTTCCCGCGTATAAAACATAATCAAATTGCATGGTGGATGAAGTAAAATTAACTTTTAAATGAAAATCATGCGTATGCATTTGATCGTATACACATACTGCAATCCTTATCGTTATTTGAGAGATCTTTACCATTAAGGTAAAAATCGTAAAATTTTTACGTCTTTTTACTAGGCAAAATACGATCTAATAAATGCTATTTTCTTTTAATAGTATTAAACGTAAAATTCTCTACTATTAGTGGGGCAAACTATCTCAAGTTCCCAAACTATCCGAACCCTAATTAGATAACACTTTGTAGATCAAAACTGGACGAAAAACTAGTTTTGCCGGAAACACTAGATAACGATAACAGTAATAGTAAGTGGTATTACAATTCTCAATCAGTTCTAATTTAAGTAATGCTCATCAAATTTTTTTCAGCAAGTATGCTTATCGATATACACGTTCAGTACCCTTCAGAAAAAATAACGCTCGATTTAAAATTATATAGTAAATTACATATAAAAAATCTTTCGTTGATTTTATGATTAAAAACAGTTCTTTATTTTAAAAGTGGCATAACTTCATTTTTTCAAAAATACAATTGATTAGAAATAATCACTAATAGAAATATAGATATAACATATATAACTTGAAATTTTTTTACTTTCCAATCAAAAAAGTCCTTGCATTTTAAGTTGCCACAGGTCTTAGATATATACATAGCTTGAAAATTTCCATTTTTCATGGGTTTTATTATATAATTTTGGACCGGGTTGATCAAAAATTTTCGCATATTTATTAGTTGCTGTGTCGAGATCGGCAAACCTGGCACAGATAAAGCTCTGTTCGGATCGGTTCGGATCGGGTTTGAGGTCAACCCGAACCGATAATTTCGGGTCGGATTCGGATCGGGTTTGATCCGAAAATCGTA